TATTGTGTTCCCCAATATATTGTGCACCCTAATAAACTTATCTGGGGTCAGAGAACAGAACAGCCACTAGATATAGAGGCCAGAAAATGGTGGCGCACACCTTTAATCCTAGCATTTCGAAGACAGAGATCTGCCTCTGTGAGTTCAAAGCCACACTGGAAAGAGCCAGGCATGGTGACACATGCCTTTAATCCCAGGAAGTGATAGCAGAAAGGTATATAAGGCATGAGGACCAGGAGCTAGAGCTGGGTTACGCTTTTAGGCTTTTGGCAGCAGTTCAGCTGAGATCCATTCAAATGAGGACTCAGAGGCTTCCAGTTTGCGGAAACCATTGGCTGAGAAGTTGTCAAGGTGAGGTCAGCTGTGGCTTGTGTCTGTCTCTCTGATCTTCCAGTATTCACCCCAATACCTGGCCCTGGATTTGTTTTAATCAATAAGACCTTTTAAGAATTGTCTTACACTTACTAGTTCCAAACTAGAATAAAACCTAATGGAATTCACATAATACATCATACTGTTCAGAATTAACTGTACTTTTTGACATTTTATGGGCAGTATTTAATAATTTAAACATAAATTTATGTGTATAATATTACAATCCCTAATGGCTAAAGTATATTCAAACTCAATGTAATATCTGTTTAAATGATGTAGTGCCTGCATTCACACTTTACATAGTGAAATTAGTTTCTTTTCCTGTTGCTTTAACAAAATACCCTGAGAAAAGGGAGGAAGGATTTCTTTTTTATTCCAGTTCAAGGGTACATTCCATCATGACAGGGAAGTCAAGGCAGCAGAAGCTGAAGGCAGCTCCTTAACTGCCACCTGACCAATAGACCTCTTCCTGTCAAAATTTTCAGCATTCAAGAGGCTAAGGAGGAGGAATTATGTGTTTCAGGCCAACATGGGCTATGTGACTATTTCTAGGCTAGCCTGAGCTACACAGGAAGATGCTGCCTCGATGAGGATAATGATGATAATTTTGATAATAAATAAATAAAGCAAGCTACATTTTTAAAAACTTCTGTGAGGCTGGGGACATGTTTCAACTGGTAAACAGACTTACTGCCAAGCCAATAATAGTAGCAGTTATAGTTAAAAAAAAAACTGTAATAGGTGTTCCCTCTTCTGATCCAATTAAGAACTATAGTTGAGTAATTAATACAAAATATGATTAAATAAGGATCATAATAAAAATGTTGCTTAAACTTGTTTAAAATTTAAATAGTCACAAATGTTTTCCTTCTGTGTGAAGACTCTTGGAGTCGATGTCCACTTATTGGAGTCCTCCATAAGGAACACTGATAATGCAATCTGTTTTATTTCCACTTCTGGCTTCGTTAGTGTAGAAAGAATGCATCAGAAAACATGGGAAGCATTCTGATCTCAGACTCCTAAATTCTTGGAATTTCTTTCCTAATTTTTGACTAGAGTCTCATCAACACTTACCTATTTGACAATATTTCGTTTTAATTTTTTTTTGTGAAGCAGGTTTGCAGAATGTTTAGCCCAGTTTTCAAGAAATAGCAGCTTTTTCCCCCTTCAAATGAATACTTCTTTGATTCTGAAAATCTCTAATTAAATTGTCATTATAATATTGATGAGGACAGGTTTGTAGACATGCATACAAAAGACAGCTGCAATGTACAAGCAACTAACAGCTGAACTAATGAGAAGAGCAAGGTATGCAAGTGCAAGCACTTTTACATGTAGATCACTCTAGGGATCGTCAGCTATCATTGGTACAAAGGAGGGAGCTAAATGATCCCACAGTATCCTAAGACGCTTCACACTTTAGAGAAGGAGAGAGGTATATTTTCAAAGGAAAATGAAAGGAGAAAGAGGACTGGAGCTTACTTTTTCCTTCTTTTTACCTTCGACTGATTCAGCCTTGTTCCCAGGGTTTGGAGAGAGAAAGTAAGAACTAAAACATTAGAATCAAAGCATTGGAACATGCCTACTACATATCAAAACTGAAATCTAAGTACAACATAACTTAGAAACTGAATGCCTCACTAGTTCACAAGAGTCATCATGCCACCTTGCCATTTTCACAGTGGTTCCTGTTTCCCAGTCAAGCTCAGGTGGTTTTTAGAAATTTTTGTGATAATCTGAAAGGACCTGGTTGCACTGTGTAGCCACCATCATCCTTGTACAGGTTTCCCCATTGATGTTTCAGAAGTCTGTTTTCTAACCTTTATATTGCAGAAAACAAAGTAATCGTTTCCTTTGAGAGACACAAATATCAATATATAGGTGTTAATAGCCTTTCTACCTGAGCATGTAGTGCAGATTCTTTTAAAAGATGTATTTCTTCATAAGGAAATGGAATAATTTTTACTAACAATTGATATCATTTCAGTGTGATTCCAATGTCATTCCACCAATACAATGACATTTTTATGTAATATAATGACCATTTTTAAAAGCTGAAAGGGCTGGGTATGGTGGCATGCACTTTGGTCTTAGTGCTTGGGAGGCAGAAGCAGGTGGGTCACTGTGAGTTTAAAATCAGTCCAATCTGCATATTGAGTTCCAGGCTAGCCAGGTTTATATACTGAGAATCTGTCTGAAAAATATTAAAACTGTTAAGTTCTGCTTTGTAGGGCAAGACAGGAGGATTGCTTTGACTTTGAGGCCAGCTTGGGCTATAGCAAGACCCTGTCTTAAACCTAAAATGCTAAATTCAAATTATTCCTCTATTGGTGGCCCTCTCACTCTTGGAAGTTTTTCTTTCGTTTCTCCTGAATAAATCTATATTTTCTCTGCTAAAAATATTAAACAAAATGATTGTTCTGCTATATTTCATCTGAGAACAATTTAAGAATCTTATACTCTCTGTAATTGCTACATGTTGGTTGTCAGGTATTGAGGTTGATTTAAGAGGATAATGCCATCCTTCCTTTGATTGTATAAACCAGCTTCCTTTTGGAATCAAAAGAAATACAAGGGATATAGATGAGGTTATTACAAACAATAGTTTTATAAAAAACAGAGAACTGTGGAGCCTCCATGGGACTGGACTAGGCCCTCTGCATAAGCAAGACAATTGTGTAGCTTGGTCTACTTAAGGGGCCCCCGGCAATAGGATCAGGATCCATTCCTGGTGAGTGAGCTGGCTTTCTGGAGCCCACTACCTGTGGGGACACACCTTGTAGAGCCTTGATGCAGGGGGTTGGGCTTGGACATGCCTCAGCTGAATGTACCAGGCTCTGCTGACTCCCCATGGGAGGCCTTACCTTGTCTGAGGAGGAAATGGGAGGGGTAGGTTTGGAGATAAATGGTTGAGGGTAGGAGGAAGAAAGAGAAGGAGATCTGTGGTTGGTATGTAAAATGAATAAAAAATTTCTTAATTAAAAAAAGTGAACACCAGACAGGGAAATAATACCTCCCAGATCAAGCAATCCCAATAGAGAGTCAACTTAGTGATGCTGTCCTTGTGCACAGACATTACATTACATAAACTGTTCTCCTAAGTGAGGGAGTTAGTCCTTAGATGTCACTCATTGGAACATTTGGTTGTCATGCATCATGTTAAAGATCCATTAATGCCAACTTGATAGGGTAGCTATGATGCATGATAATATACTCTGCATATCTGCATAGAGTTCTGTTCAACAGATCCTCATGATGCATCACACCAGAGTCTCCTGCTTTCAAACTTCAGAAACAGCCCAAATCCCCATGGGAGCCTTCAGAAGTCTCTGCTGCAAGGACTAAAATACCATGAGAGCAGGAAGTCATCCTAGGCTGACAAAACACCCTCCTCCCTAAATATGTAGTAGGCACAAAGGATGAATGTACTCTTATGATTTAGTTTATCTTTTCATTCTAAAAAAAAAAAGAATCCATCACTGCTTGATATATCGAATTTAGAATCTAGCACCATTTTACTTGTCATTCCAGAACTTTTGTCAAGTTACATAAGTGATAATTAGGAATATGCACTTTGAAGTAAGCAAATCAAAATATGTATCAAAGGTTACAACATTTTTACCCATAGAACTTTGGCACCATTTAACCTCTGCAAGTTTAGTTTCTCAAAGGTAAAATGAGAAAGTACCAGTCTCGTTGGGTTGTTGTGTAGGAAAAAGATCAGTTTGTGTGTGGGTAATGCTAATCACAACATTATGTACCAAGGAGGTGCTCATAAACATGCACCACTGTAATACTAATACAACATGGTGTATTAGTCTATTTGGGTTTCTATTAAAATAGAAAATACCATACACTGAGTGACTTACACACAACAGAAATCTAGTTCTATCGGTTTTGGAGGTGAAGAAGTCCAAGTTTAAGTAACTAGCAAATACAAGGTCTGTTAAGTGTCTACTCCTCATAGCTACTGCTTCTTGCTACTTCCTCACATAACCAATGGGGCTAGCTTCATCTCTGAGGTCTATATTATATGGGCACTGCCTTGGCTACATTTCATTACTGCAACAAAACACCATGATCAAGGCAACTTATAGAAGAAGTAGTTTGTTGGGCACTTACAGTTTCTGAGCGTGAGTCTATAACCATCATAGCTAATACCATGACAACAGGAAGGTGTAGTGCTGGAGCAGTAGCTGATAACTCACTTCCCACCCAAAAGCAAGAGTCAGAGAGAAATATCTGGGAATGGTACGGGCTTTGGAAACCTCAAAACCCAACCCCATTGATACCCTTCCACCAACAAGACCTCACCTACCAGTCCTTCTCAAACTTTTCAACCAACTGAGGGCCAATCATTCAAATATGTGACCCTATGGAGGCCATTCTCATTCAAATCACCACAGGCACTAATCTCAAAACTCAGTTTTCAAGCAGGCCTACCTCGTAATATCATTGCCAGAGAGCTTATAGTTTATATGCATTAATGACATTATTTTTAGTTTTTAACATATGAACACTTTCAGATCACAGAGTGAACATCACTGACATTACATCCCAACCAGAGTAAGATGGCTCGTGTCTATATTTCTTTGCTTTAAAATTTTCTTCTAATTCACTCATAGGTACTTCGGGGAGAAATTGCACCTCTTAAAGAGAATGTTAATCGAGTCAATGACCTTGCTCGACAGCTTACTACATTGGGCATTCAGCTTTCACCTTATAACCTCAGCACACTAGAAGATCTGAATACCAGATGGAAACTTCTGCAGGTAGGCATGCTGTGAATATCATTGCTCCTTGGTATAGTAAAATGACATGTACATAATTTGTTTTTAGGGAGTAACAAAAGTTATTCATTTTCCCAAGCATAATGATGTATGCTTTTAATTTCAGCACTTGCAAGGCAAAGTCAGATGAATATCTTTGAAGTTCTGGCCAGCCTGTTCCAGAGCAAGTTCCAGGCTAGCCACAGCTATATAACAAGAACCTATTTCAAAAGAGTATTCATTTGATATTCATAATAACAAGATGCTTTGTATTGCTTGATAAGTCCCTATGTTACTAAACTCAATTTCAGAAATGTCCAAAAGCTAGAGTTCAGTTTGTCTTGTAATCATGTGAAAGACAGTGGTGAACCGCAATGGAGGAACTGAATTAATAGTAGACTATTCATTTGTGCTGGTGATGCTTGGATTCTGAAAATATCTTTTCCTTTGGAATTCTAATTGAAACAAGAGTCAATAGTATGGTATAAAATTGTCTTAAGAAAAATTATCATATCATAAATCCATGAAGAGAAGTTTTTGGAAGTTTGTATAGTAAATATAGGGGATAGATGTGTGTCCCAGGTGTCATTTACTTGCTGTGGTACCTTGGACAGTTTAGTGACTCTTTCTGTACTTTAGTCTTTCCTCTAAAAGATAAGATAATAGAATTCTCTACATTGTTAGTTTTTTGTTAGGATAAATAAATCACAATAATAAGTGTAACAATAAGTCATTTGAAACAGAACTTACTCTACAGTACCCTATACATTGTAGATCTTGGTGTTATTACAATTATTACTATGATGATACTACATGGACTTGGGAACCTGACTAATTAGCTGTGTGTCCTTTGTGCCATTTAACTTCTATGGCTGTTGCTACCTTCATCTCCAACATAGTTGCAATAATGTTGAATGAGCTGATTCACATAGTTTTTAGAATAGTGTTTGTAGTGGTAGTGTATATTTCCTCTACAAAGGACATTGTGTTATGCCTCCAAACTATAAAACTGGTTTAGCCATAAAATTAGAGACTCATTTTTTTTCTTTTTCAATTTCATAGGATACAGATCATATACTCCTGAGACTAGAAAGAAAACTAGGTTTGAAAGTATTTGGTCTCAAAGTTTTAATAATAAAAAAACAATAAACCAGTACTCTGCCATCAACAGTCTATTTGAGAGTGTGATTGATTGTCCAGTTAAAGAAATGCTATATCTTTAACAAAAAATAAGTTCCAAATTCCAGACCCCTTCAAGTCTTATATAATTTAATTTATATATGATGAATGAGCTTGAAATATCCATATGGTAGATTGTTATCTGTAGAATTGACTAAGGTAAGACAGTATCGGTAAGTGATTCTATGCCTCTATATATCCACTGGCCCCATGGTAGTTTGGTACTATTAAAATCTTATCAGTTTCATCTTTAAAATATATCTTTCGTTTAAAGCATACATAACTAAAGTAATAAGTGACCAAAGAGAGCAAATGGTCACATCTGTTCTATTCAAACACTCTTGGATAGAACTTTCTTATAAAAGGTGGAGTGTTACATTTGTGTTTCAGAATGTACTACAAGATTTGTGACAGATACATGTAAATTTATGACTGAGGTCAAAAAAATATGAATGATAGAAAAAAATCTTGTGAATCAATGCTATGCAGGCTAGACATAGTGCTATACCCTTTAATCCTAGCATTTGAGAGGCAGAGGTAAATAGAATACTGTGAATTCCAGGCCAGTCTGGTATACATAGTGAGTTTCTGGACAGCCAGAGCTACACACAGAGACTCTGTCTAAAACATAAAAAGCAAACAAAGAATCATGGTATGTGAGCTTAAGAATGTAACTCTGGTAGAATGCTTGCTCAGAATGTCCCAGGTCCTGGGTTATAGCCACAGCACCAAGAAAAAAAAAACCCTTTATGACTTTATGATCCATTCTACTTATACTATTTATTTATTCATAAAGCATGGAAAATATTAATGGTTTAATTCTCACACAAGGACTTGATTGCAATTACATGTAAATACATGAAAGAAGATGGTGAGCTGTAGCAAAAAATAGTATAGTCTTTATTGGGTTAATATGTTAACATCTCTAAGCTACAATTCTTATTATTAAAATGAAACAATTCAGTTTGTCTAAGGCTAGATCCAGTTCATTTCTATGATACTATATCTGGATATCAGGAAGAGATACACATGGCAAAATTTAGTTTAGAACCAATGATGATGCTTCTTTTATTCATACCATAATACACATGTGGCTAGTTGCAATTACATCACTTCTTCCATAACTCTCAACCTTTTATCTGGAGGCCATATAGATATAGACTTCTCATATTAAGCAATAATCAAGGTTTGGCTCATGCTTCTCTTGTACGTAGCAAATTAAATGCTTTTATTTTTGAGCAATAACCTTAAAGATATGCTCAGAAATTATTTCTAGCAGAAAGTTGATGAGCCCAAGATTTTTGGTTTACATGTAATTGAATCAAGTATTTTCCATAATTCTAACCACTCTGCTATATAATCATAACTAGTTATAAATGTGTGTCATTATTCAGGAAGGGAACAAGGCAAATAAAGAAAACTATCCATGTTAATGAAAGTTCATGAGTGTAGCTTCTCTGCCATTTTTAGGAAACACATTCTCTGTTGATTATTGCTGCAGCTCATAGGTGCCATAGATGAGTGGGACTGTTGGTTGCTTCCCTTCTCTAGAAGGTTGCATGGCAACTTTTGGTACCATGAAATCTTGTCCTCAGGGAGCTCAGAGTTTCAGGTCAGTTCCAGATCAGGTTCTCAGAGTCTTATGTCCAAAACTCCTTCTGAGAACAGGAGAAATTGTTTTCCCCAGGGAAGAGTCCACAGTTGGCTATCCAATACCAAGTCCTCAGCCCTGAGATCATATACATACAAAGTAATATTAGAGGGAGTGAGAAATTTGTGTTAATGTATTTAGGAATATATCCATGTGTGTGTGTGTGTGTGTGTGTGTGTGTGTGTGTGTGTGTGTGTGTGTGTGTAACAATTTTTTTAAAACATGACATGAATTTTGAAAGCATGATAGGGTTGAATTGGTGAGTTTGAAGGGAGGAAGGGGAAAGGATATAATTATATTAAAATATCAAATTAAAAAATATTAAAAATAAAATAAAACTAGTACATATGGCAAAAATGGACATTGATATCAAAGGATTGCATTTAGTTATGGAAAGAAGAACTCACTTATATTTGGCATATTCTTCATTTAGAATGCATGTAAAAGTAGGGCATTGGCCAGCTTCTGGACTGAAAAGCTTGCATTCACCATCATGCTGGCTGCATAGGTGTACAACATAAAGAATATAGTCACTTATGAGGTCTTATCTGTTGACAAATATCACATTAAAAACTAGGTACAAGTTTACATTTCTGTCTGCCAAGACAAAGAAAAGTTGAAAACACAACTGAAAGAGTAAAAAGGCATATATAGGTGTGAGAAAAGGAAAGCAGTCGTAAATTTGAGAAAAAATGATGCAAGGGAAGGAATGGAATTGCATGCGGTCTGAATTTATCTTTCTTGACATCAGACTATCCTGGGTTTAGTTACCTGACAAATTCATTTTGCTTCAAAAAGAAAGCCATACTTGTATGTTAGCTGTATATAAGATCAGTGAAAATGGTTGAGACATATAAGAAAGATAGGTATGACCATCAAGAGCAGAATAAGATCTCGTCATAATTTACCTGTGCACAGAAATAGTAAATAAAGAGGCTTCCAAATTTATTTTGAAGCCAGAAATAGAAGTATAAGACACTTGTTTACTTGGTTTAGATTTTCTGTTGGAATGAAATCCCGTGTCCTCCCTCTCAGTGTACATTGGATGTTTCTACTTGGGCCATTTACAGGATGCTTAAGGTGTTACTAAGTGTTTTTGGATACTTTCTCACAATCCTTGAAGCATTCTGAATATGTATTACAAGTACATATTATGATTATTCTCTTTCATAAGTAAGGAAATTGAGACCTAGAAACATGACACAATGCAATCACATCTAGTGCCTAGTGTCACAAGATCTGAATCAGATCTTCAGAACTGTCCTGTCAAATTCCCTTTCCTTAAAGTGCCATTAAACTAGAGATTAATCAAGTTGTACTTAAAATCTATTTGGACAAGAAAAGTGTGAAATGCTTGATATTTCTCCAAACATACCCTTTCTTTAAAATAATTCTTGGACACAATAACTTTGAAATCTTCCTTTAACAAACCATTGGATTAATATGCCCAGTTCTGTGTACCTTAAAAAAAATCACACTTCTTTCAAACATAAAATTTTAAAATGCCAGGCAGTGATGGCACATGCCTTTAATCCCAGCACACAGCAGGTAGAGGCAGGCGGATCTCTGTGAGTAAGTTCTAGGAAAGGCACCAAAGCTACGCAAAGAAACCCTGTCTCAAAAAAAATTAAAGCAACTTATTCCTTATTGCCTTTACAACTTAGCAACTACTTTAAAATCCAATGAAAATTATTTTAATAAGTCAACTCTTAAAGTAAAAGCAATCCTAATATTTAGTCAAGTACAAATGAATCTCAAAAATCCTTTCAGTGAATTAGCTCTGAGTAAGCATTTACTGTATACTGAGAAGTCATAGTAATAATCCTATCTGGTCCATGGACAACTGACCAAAAAGCCCTTACATATATATGCTGTTTTAAGAAATCTTATAAATATGTGTTATGTTATTCATGCAGGAGTACTTGTATGCATGGTGATAATTTATCTATGTCGCCCAATAAAATTTATCTGAGGATCAGAGGATAAAGGTCAGCCACTATTAGTAAAAACAGAAGTCATGCAATGTTAGCACAAGCAATGTTAGCCTTCTGGATCTCTGTGTGTTCAAGGCCATACTAGGGAACAGAGCCAAGCGTGGTGACACACAACTATAATCCCATTACCAACCATAGAGACCTGAAGACAGACAGTGATGAGGAAGTGAGGTAGCTGA